AAAACCGAAGGCATCGTGAGATTCAAAAATGGTGGTGCACCTTTCCAAGTCAAAGCCTCCAATACCAAGAACGTAATCCAAATCAACTTTTCCGTATTGAGTTTTCTTTAGTTGAGCCATACCATTTATGCTCTACGTCAAAGGGAAAAAAAGTTCTTTAGTAACGATCTCCCGTAAAAAAAAAAAAGGAGAAAAGAGGATGATGACGGCAATGATGAGCTAACCTACCCTTATCCTTTCGATAAGAGGACCGACTGCCGGTTCGGGAACAAGATCAGTCTGTTATCAAAATTTCATGTAATTAGTCATTCCGAAGCAACACGAATGCAGTGATACAAAAATTTGCTCGAGAGAAATTTACCTTGTTAATTATGATGCGATCGGCATATGCAATTTGTTCAATCGCCTCATTGACGACACCGTCGGGTTTAATTTCATCAAGGTGAAAACGAACATGCTTAGCATCAACAAGTGTGACCACTCCATCGAGTTTCACATCGTTAAAAATCTGATCCTCGGCGTAAAATGTCTGAATAATCGGGGCTGGATTTGCTAATCCTGAAACGACGAGGTAGAATAAATACATCAAATTCGATATCACAATTATACAATCAAAACGAGTGGGAAAAGATACTCGTAGCAAAACTGATCAATTTTTAATAATTAAATCAATATTAATTACCTGTTGTCTCGATAACAATATGATCGAATTTTCCTTTCTTTCGACTAACTAATTCTCCAATCATTCTGACAAGATCGCCCCTCACGGTGCAACAGAGACACCCGTTGTTGAGCATAATAATGTCCTCAGTTCCAGCAGCTTTTGCGGCAACTAGTGAGCCATCAATGTCAACTTCACCAAACTGAAAGAAGGAGAAAAAAAAACGAACAAGGCAATAGAAAGTTATTACAACCACACTCTAAATCGACTCCAAATAAGTTTTTTTTTTTTTTTTTTGAATCTTTTAATCCCATCAAGAATCCACACATTTCCAATTAGTCGAGCAGATTACACAGACGGCATTATACCTCGTTCTCGATGACTGCAATACGTTTCCCGTGATCGGCGGTCAATATGTGGTTTAACAAAGTTGTCTGTCAAAGAATTAAAACACAAGTGAGAGGGTAAATTAGTCAAGAATCAAAATTCACTGCTGTAATATAGAAATTTAACAGAAATCAACATAAAGAACACAAGATTCGATTTTTATTTTTATTTTCCCAACAATTAACATCTGGGAAAATCTTAAATTCAATATCACCATTATTTATCATATATTCAGTTTATCATATACTGCAAAATTTAACACAATCCATAAATCCCATCTTCTAATTTGCAATTAAACAGAAAAAAAAAAGAGAGGATAAAATTAGAGGAAAAAAACCTTTCCAGAGCCCAAAAAACCAGTTATAATGGTGGCCGGGATTCTATTATCCGGAGGAATTTTAGTCACAGAATCAGAACTCTCAGCCTCCGGTGCTGACGTGGCCGCAGCTGAGACAGCGAACCGGCGGGAGAAACGCTTACTCGGCCGCTCCGAATATTCAATCCTCGAACCGCCATAGCTGGTACTGGTAAAAAACTTGCGGCGTTGAGCAAAAAAATTAGGTCTGCTTCTGTATAAGAAAAGGGAGGAATGAATAGATGAAATCGGTGAAGATTGGATTTTGGCGAAACCGAGAAATGAAGCGGCCATTTCCACGGAGAGTGAGGTTATGGACGCCATTTCAGGGCTCTGTTGAGGGTTTTGAGATTTTTTAGTGCGTGTACTGTGTGTGTAAATGAAGAAGACGGGGGATTGGGTTTTAATTAGAAATGTTTATTTTATTTTATTTTTATTTTATTTTTCCCGAAGGAGAAAACAATGTAGATAGTCAGATTATACGGTCTGATGAGTGTCAGACAGACATCAAAATGTAGCTACGTGCACAAAATGCACATTTATTATTTTTAATATTTTTTTTTAGAAAAAAAATGTGATAAATTGGTAGATTTTAAAGTTAGGGGTGCAAATCGAAAGGAATTGATAGAAATGACTTTTTCGAAAAAAAAAATCATATTTTTTTTGAAGTAAAAGACGGGTTCCAAAAATATTGAAATGCAAAAGTTAGTTGATTTCGGAATCGACGGAATTTCAGATATTTTGGGATTATAATCTATTGTTTAAAATTTGGATATAATAAGAATTGTCATAATATTTTTCTATCTTTTTCAAAATTTTGCAAGAAGAATCTAAAAAAAAGTTACAAGTTTTTAATTTACTTGACCCAGGCTATTTATATTTTTCATATAAGATATAACATAAAATTATTTGATTGAATTACAAAATCTATAATAAAATTATATTGTATATATCGGAAAACTATCGAAATATTCGGAAGCAAAATAGGATCGCAAATCGGAATTTTCAATAATTTTATATACAATTTCGATTTCATTTCAAATAAATTTGAAAACTCGGATGTTTTCGCATCAGAATTAGCAGAATTTGAAAATTCCACTCAAATAAATTTGGTTTAATGGAACAACTAAGTATATCTTAAGTACTTGATTGTACGTACTACGTAATAATCAGTACATACAATAAATATTTTACTAATACTAAACATACATGTATATGCATGTAAAAAAGAGATATTCATACATGAAATATAATAAAATTAGTTGGCAATAGGTAACATACATGACAATTTAACATAATATATATGTCCAATTATAAAATTCAACTTGGTCGGAAAAAAAAAATACACTACCACTAAGTTCAGGTAAAAATAATTGTTGCAATTCATAAGCTTCCAAGTAAAAAATATAATTACAAAAAATAATATCGAGGTAAATATCTTAATCGAATTATAAAATATAAATTGCGGTACGGTACGGTATTACCGTGGTATTAGAAATACAATACCACTACCGTACCATATTGTAATGGTACGGTACTAGTACCGTACCGTACCGTAAACATTGATAACCGTTCTTTCGGTATTTCTTGGTAGGTATACCGTGGTACATGATAATTGGCATTTTTTTTCCAGCCCTACTTGAAATTCATGAATGGTTTAATTCAATAATTATAAATTAAATAAATAAATGGTCTAATCAACTATATATAATACCTCATTTGTTTAACGAATTGAAGAATTCAAAAATGTATTATAATATAATCATCTTACAATAAATTTGATTCCGAATGGCGGAAAACAGGAAGCGAATCTCTCGGCATGTTTTTTGGCGTCAAAACGATTCATATGCCCATCCTCAATCGGTTCTTCATGGGCCCTCTTCCGCTTCTTCACCCCTTTCATCATCGGCAATTTGCCGTCTTGTCTCGGTCTATACATTACGATAATGTATTTGTAGTCTGGATGGTCGCGATAGTAATCACAGTCCGTATCTATAATCACTGTCTTGAGTGACGTGGCAGCGATTTTACAGAGTGGCCCAATGAACTCGTCTTCACTCGCACACCCACAATATCCATCTATTTCAACCGCATTTAGATTTTTATGATAAAAAACATCTGCCTCCACTGAGGTTACTTCCGGAAACGGAACCAAACTCTGTCACGGAGTTCTCATTAAAGGAGATTTAAAAAAAAAAAAAAAAAAAAAAAAAGGGATATGTTTGAAAAAGTACCGACACATAGATAAACGGCGAGCAAGGCACTAAGTAGTTTATCTGTGACAGTATGAAAGATATATATCATCAGTCAGTTTATCCAACAAAAAGAAATTCACGCAACGAACTTTGTAATCGCCATCACTGTAGAGTTTATGTGTGAACATTCGAGGGGGTATAATAGTAATTACTTTATTCTACTAGTGGATTTGACGGTAGCTACTAATATTTTAACCCATATAGGGGTTTATGTGCTCAAAATTGTAACTATAAGGGAGCTATGTGCAAAACAGTCGAAACAACACGAGACGGGGTCATATGCTATTCACCTTGATTTTAAACTCGTGCAATTGAGGAGATGCCTTGATCAACGACGTCAAAAGGAGAAGGCTTCGGCCAACTTGCGACACGATGCTCAATTCCAGCCGCTTGAGAGCGTGTAACTGAGGCAAATCATGAGGAAAAATTTGTCTAGCGACACTCTGAACAAAAGAAAAGAAAAGAACGGGGAGATGAAAACGACGGTCATTGCTAAAAGATTGGTTATTCGTTATACGAGAGAAAATTAAATTAATGCACACCCCACCGTAGTATGAAGATTCAACACAAGCTTCACCAGTTGAGCTGAATAGTTCGAGTGTTTGTTGGGTTCGTAAACGAAGGATTCACAAAACACCCCACCAAGAGTTAGCTCGGAGAGATTAGGAACATTCTTGACTGGAAAACTACCGAGCTCGTTTCCTTCATAGGTACAGGACACAAGATTCTTAACAGATATAACTAGACTCTGAATGTTGCAACACTCGGATATTTCCAATACTTTCATATACGGCAACGGGTCAACAAACTCGACATCTTTCGTATCAACGGAGCCCCTTATGGATATTTTCTCAATGTAAGGGCACGAATCTAGAAAATAACGAACCATCTCGTCCTTGATATCAACACTAACCAATCTAACGGATCTTAGAGAGAGAAAAACATTACCGGATCTTAGGCAACAAGCAAAAGACAAGTTCAACCAAAGTGCGAAGAACTTGTCTTTGTATAACAGATCCAAAATGTCGGGCAATCTTGTTAACAGATCCAAAATGTCGGGCAATCTTGTTAACAGATCCAAAATGTCGGGAAATTTATAGGTGCAAGGAGAGCCACCGGGAACCGACAAATCCAAATCGAATCTCTTTACTTGCTTATGCATAGCAAAAAGAACCCATTTACTAATGCTAGATGAACAAATATTTGTCTTATAACAAAAACGAACAATCATACTATCAACACTCGTACCCTGATGCGACTCGAGAACACAATTCACCAAGGCGTCAAACTTGTACATTTTCATTTTAGTTCTATTGGCACTAATACCCCTGTCATCGAATTCCAGTACCCCATGTGTAAACATCCACAGACAATCGCAATAAGTAAATCCTCAGGCAATTTATCAATCGCATTAGTATCCATACCGAGAGTATCGATTCCCTGTGCATAATCGTAAATATTACTACTCGATCCAAGTATATATCACCACACACAAAAAACAAAATAAAAAAAAATTAAAAATTAAAAATGTAAATTATTTACCGCCTGTCTCCTCTTTCGTTTTCCATGGTTTTGTGTATCTGGGTCGGCCTTATGCTTGTTCATCTCCATCTACACAGGCTTCGTGAATCAATGCGGCAACAGATTATCCGGTTCCTAAATTGGGGTATTCTGAACAGAATTGAAATCGGATTCAAATTTTTAGGTCACCCGATTGAAAAAATTAGGTCACGGAGAATCTGAAATTTTCGTATTTATGTTTATTTATATGGTAAATTAACCGCCCCTGAGGTAAGGTATATTTACGAAACAACCCCCTTATGTTTTCATAATTACGTCTATCCCTTGAAATTTGTAAATTTATTACATTAACACCCTTTTGTATGGGGTGGATGTAAGAAATTTCCAAACTTTAGGGGTATTTATGTAATTTATAACAAATAAGGATTTTATTCGTAAATTAACTTTACCTCAAGGAGGTGGTTGTAATTTACCCTTATTTATATTAACTTAATTCTCAAAATTTAGGAAATAAACCATAAGCTCGAGAGAATAATTTGTTAATATAAATATGCAGTTTTTATTATTATTCATAAATCATTATCATAATTAATCATAAAGATAACTAATTTTAAGCCTTTTTTTTTCTTTTTTTTTTTCTTTTGAGAAATAATTTAAGCCTTTTACTAGTAGTTAACTATTGTGGAGTATCCACTATAGAGCACTTTTTTAGAATTAAAAAGAATAATAATAATATGAAAGAAAAGAAAAAACAATTGACTCATGGAGCCAGAATGCTTAATTAGTTGGTTCAACCATAACCACCAATATGCTAAAATTACTAAATCAACCTTCTTTAGGGCTAATAAGATTTGAATATTTATATAACAAAAAAATTTACATGCTAAAAGTTGTATTTCAATTATATTGACCATAAATCGACAATATAATGGAAAATCAAGTCACGTGTTACAATTCCTTTTTCGAATCCCTTGACAACGGTCGCTAGGTCGAGCTTTGTCGTACATGGTTAACCTAATGTAGTTTACGTCTTTCGTATAATTTGTAAGCTATTATACGAGAGTGTAGATATAGACACGGCCATGAGCCGGTTTTGGGCCCGGAACCGGCTCGTTGACAAACCGGCCCAAACCGTTGACCGGTGAACCGGCCTATCGTTCCCGGGACGGGCCCGGTTCTATGAATTGGTGAACCGTGAAAAGCCGGGCCGGCCCGGCGATTCACCCGGATTTAAAAAAAAAATAAAAAAAAAACAAATAACGGCCGGTGAACCGGCCGTTATTTGCTATTTTTTGAATTTTTTCCACCATTTTTTCTTATAAATACCCTCACACCCCATTTTTTCCTATAAAATTAAGTTAAAGTCCTTTTATTTATTTCCTTTTGTTTTCTTCCTATTTAAAAGTATTTATTTTAATTTATTTATCCATTAAGTATTTTTTTTTTTAAATATATATATAAATATAATTTTCTGGGCCGACTCGGAACCGGATTGAACCGGCGGGCCGACCCGGCCCGCCGAACCGTGCATATTATGGGCCGGTTCCGGTTCTGAAAAATGTGAACCGTGAACCGGTATGAAACGGCCCGGAACTGGCCCGAACCGGCCCATGTCCGTGTTTATATAGGTATACCCAATGCATCTACATGGTTGACTGCGAGTTATGTTTTTACAAAAAAAAAAAAAAAAAAAAAAAAAAAAAGAAAAGAAACATATGGTATTTCTTTGATTTCATTTTCCATTATATTGTCAATTTTCATTCCTATTTTTTCATTCCTAACAAAATTAAATTGTAATTAAAAAAAAAGTAGGTGCTGAAAATTGTCGTAGATAATCACTTGTAATAGCATACCAGTCGATAAGTTGTAGTAGTATATCAATGGATAATGCTAAGGCCTAAGCTTCGAAGTATTTGACAATTTTTAAGAAATATCTTAACTTTAGTAAAAATAAGTTATTGGAGAACTTTTAAAATCTTTAAATTTTTTTTTTCTCTTAAACCCCACTTTTTAATTTAATTTTTTTATAATGATTAAAATTAAGTTATAAGCTCATTATTCGAACACTTTAAAAATTCTAAAAATATGACATAACAACTTATCAACTCTTGAAATAATTATCATAAGAATTTATGAGCTGTTTAAAGTAAGTTTAACCAATGAGATGAAATCAGTGTTAACCAATGAATGAAATCAATGTTAGTATTAAATGTAATGATGATTAGTACCGAGATTAAGCCCACGCAAGCCCCGAATAATTAACAATTTAAGAAATGTGCAGTCGTCGTGGATAATGAATGGCATTGCGTACGAAATCTTCCAACTGAAGTGGGCCCCACCCTGCCCCCCAATACGGATAAAAGCTAGCCCAATTATACCAATTATTTAAAATTAGCAATATATATTTTTTTTAATAAAAATAATTACAATATCTAAAAAAGGTGGGACCCACAGTAATATTTAACCCACCCGCTTTCGTCTGTTCATATCGTATCATATATTATTAGTATTTGTTTTCATCCGAAGCAGAAATCTCAACATGTCTCACCACCACGTGGCGGCCATCGCTAGGTTCGGAGTCAGGCTCGGGAGTCAGCTTCGTTCCCCCACTCCCGTGTACGCCTTGTATTTCATCTCGAGTTTCAGTTTTGGAGAGTTTATCATTTCTACTTGCTCCTTCTGCAACCCTTCCACTTTCCACTCTCTCTCTCTCTCTCTCTCTCTCTCTCTTCTTTCTCTCTCTAAACCACGCACACGCTTGTGTAAGTGTATAATCGCAATTATGGGAAAAACAAGGTTTGTTTTTTTTTTTTTCTCTTAATTTCCCGTACTCTGCTTTTCGAAAAGCTGAAAACTTGTTCTCTTTTGGGTTTTTTTTTTTTTTTTTTTTAATTATTTTTGATGGATTTTTTCTTCAAGGAAAAATGTTTATATCGGGAAAATCGATGGTGATTTTAATATTTAGGAGTAGAATCATGAGTTTTACTCGATGAAAATGATCAATCGTTCGTGGATTAGAGTTTATACTACAGTGGGTGATCTTACAACCCGTGTAATTGATCAGAAAAAATTAGGGTTCTGTTATTTGTCGATCAGAAATTTTTCTGTTGCAGTGAAGTTTTTAGTCCTAATCTTTCACTTCTGTGTTTATTTATTTATTTTTTCACTGTGAAATATGATTCAATTCTGCGCAGAGTGTAATTTTTTTGTTACTGATCATGTGGGTTTTCTAATATTCAATTTATGCACTGGGTGAGTTGACCCCGTTGCTACAATTAATATCTCTATACTGTTTGATGAATTAAATCGAAGGGCTTCACCGAAATCGGTTCGAGAAAAATCGGTCTACATGTACTTAAACGAAACCTCGAATTGATATTCATTACGTTCTCTAAATTTTACAGGGTGATGCTGCATTTGTACCCTTGAACAACTGCACCTTCTTGTGTGTGATTAAATTATGATATAACAGAACAAAATGGGGGGAGCTTGTTCCAGAAAGCGGGACCCACTGGCCAACGAGGACACTTCGAACAGAGTAGGACCTTCCGGAAGATACACTAAAAGCAGTAGCTCGAAATGGCTCGGAACCTCGTTTTCTAGAGCTTATATGGACGCTATGCAGGGCAAGAGAAATCGCCCGTCTCTTATCAATTTGTGCATATACAAAATTCGCGAAGTATGTTTCGTTTTTTTTTTAATAGAAAAAAAGGCAAAAATAATTTAAAAGTTTAGTGATGAATGATTTAATTTTGTTTTTTGAAGGACATTAATAAATATAGCACATTCTCGATGCTGCCGAGGGATATAAGTCAGCAAATTTTCGACGATTTGGTCTATTCCCATTGCTTAACTGATTCTGTACTCGAAGCTTTTAGGGATTGTGCTCTTCAGGTACCGTAAATTGCTTTGTTTTTATTTATTTATTTTTATTTAATGGGAAAATAGTGTCATGAGGCAGTGGGTTGTCTTTCTTGCAGGATCTCAATTTGGGGGAGTATCCGGGATTCGACGACAGCTGGATGGATATTGTTTCTTCACAGGGCTCGTCTTTACTTTCTGTAGATCTTTCGGGTTCCGAAGTTACGGATTCTGGGCTAATTTATCTCAAAGAATGCAAAAATATTCAATCTTTGAATTTTAATTATTGCGACCTGATTTCGGACAAAGGGCTGGAACAGATCAGTGGTAAGAAAATCTTTTTCCTTTAATTTCAAGAGTCAAGAATACATGTTCTTGAAAGTTAAAAAGGTTAACTTTATTTTGTAGGTCTGTCGAATCTGAATACGCTGAGTTTTAAACGAAATAATGCAATCACCGCACAAGGATTGAGTTTCCTATCTGGTTTAATTAGCTTGATAAAGTTGGATTTGGAGAGATGTCCGAAGATTCAAGGAGGGCTCGTTCATCTTAAAGGTTCGTGTTAGTTCTCTCTCGTGATTAGTGACGTAATTTTCCGAAATATTTCTGAATTATTTCTTTCGCAGGACTTGAGAAGCTCGAGTCGCTGAATTTGAACTGTTGTAACTGCATAACTGATGCTGATATGAAAGCTCTCTCAGGTTAGCTTACCTCGTTTTCCGTTCACTAATTTCTTCACATGTTTAAAATGTTTGTCGTGTTCTTATTTCGGTCTAACCATTTATTTCGTGTTGCAGGGCTTACAAATTTGAAGTCGTTACAGATTGCATCAAGTAAGGTTACCGATAACGGTGTCACCTTTCTAAGAGGTATTTCCTCAATCTCCGTGAATTATTTTTCCCAAATAAAATTTCTAATTTCCCGATAATTTAATATTGCAGGTTTGAGCAAGCTTGCTCTTTTAAATATGGAGGGTTGCCCTGTCACTGCTGCATGTCTCGAGTCACTTTCAGGTTCGTTTTTTTCTTTTAATAATCATTTTCTTTTTCTATATTTTGTCTCGGCTTTCTGATATTCAGAAGTTATGTGTTTATTGCAGCTCTCGATGCACTGTTGTACTTGAATCTGAGCAGATGTAATTTGACGGACGATAAATGTGAAAAATTTTCAAGTAAGATATATTCGACGTTGGAATCTCGGTCGATAGAAGATATACGTATTTGCATTTTGTTCTTAATAAATGTTGGCATTTATTCTAATTTTTTTCACAGAGCTGCTGTCTTTGAAAGTACTGAATTTGGGATTCAACGAGATATCAAGTGCTATACTAGTTCACCTTAAAGGTAAAATTTTGTCCGGAAATTATGAATTAATTACCCCATTAATCCCAAATTGTGTACGAAATTTTAATTTCGTACTAAATTTGATATTATTTTTTCGTGTCACAGGTCTCACCAAATTGGAGAGCTTGAACCTCGATTCTTGCAAGATCAACGATGAAGGGATGGTTCATCTTGCAGGTTTCATTTTCGTCTTTTTTCTTTTTCTTGGTATTATATAAAACGTGTTTTCACAATTTTGTATTACAGGTCTATCTTGTCTGAAATACTTGGAGTTGTCTGATACAGAAGTTGGAAGCAGTGGTTTACGTCATCTATCTGGTTAGACAACGAACCCTTTTGCAACTATTCCGATTTTTACAAGAATAATATAAATATTTATTCAATTTCTCAAAAGAATAACTGTTTTTTTTAATATTAAATTGCAGGTTTATTGAATCTTGAAAGTTTGAATCTTTCGTTCACCATAGTTACTGACGGTGGATTGAAGAAGTTGTCTGGATTATCATCTCTAAAATCCCTCAATTTGGATGCTCGTCAAATTACAGACGCTGGACTTGCTGCTCTTACGAGTAAACTTCTTCGATTTATTTAATTTGATCTTTTATAATTCAATCACACAAGCATTTAATTATCTATATTTATTTAATTTTGCAGACTTGACTGGATTGATGCATCTTGATCTCTTCGGAGCACGAATTACCGATTCTGGAACCAACTGTTTGCGATGTACGCTAACAACTTCAATTAATCTTTCTTTTTTTTAATTATTATTAATTATTAATTTTAATTCATCATCCTCATTTTGTTTTATTAGCTTTCAAGAAACTGCTTTCCTTGGAAATCTGCGGCGGCGGATTAACCGATGAAGGTGTAAAGAACATTAAAGATCTCACATCATTAACACTGCTGAATCTATCCCAGAACAACCACTTGACCGACAAGAGTTTGGAATTAATTTCCGGTACTTAATTTGTTAATTTAATATTTTATAGTATAGATTTCATTGTTTATCGGTTAAATCAGACACATGATTTTTTTTTGCAGGACTCACGCAATTGGTATCTCTAAACGTGTCGAACTCTCGTGTCACGAATAATGGTTTGCAGCATCTGAAATCACTCAAGAATCTGAAATCGCTCACATTGGAATCTTGTAAGTTGAATGCTGATGATATGAAGAAGTTTCAATCGACTCATCTCCCTAATCTTGTCAGTTTTAGGCCCGAATAGATATTAGTAGGGTGGGGCCCGAGTCGGGGGGTCAATGCATGCATGCATGTATATATATATCGTCTATCTACCAAAGTGTACATATTGGGAACAAGAAAGTTTGCTACTCGTCTTTTATTTACGTGCCACATGCGAAGTCTTTCTTTCCTATCTCTTATAGGAGAGAAAATGTATATAACGACTTCCTTTGGCGTTGGTTTCGAATTAAGTTTCTTTTCTTGTGGAGTTTGAGAGAAACATGGTCGAGTCAAGAACATATATGTATATTAATAAATGTTGGATTGGCGGTGATTGCTGTGTGTATAAAGTATAAACGAGTCCTGCGTTGGATTTTTTATCGTCTTGTTTATATGTATATGGTCTTGTACTCTTTGTTTGATTGTGCATCGTTATTTGCTGGGCAAATTACGACCACTCCCTGAGGTAATGTCAAATTATAGAAAAACCCCGTTTGTTTTGGTAATTACATGCACCCCTTCAATTATGTGTTGTTTTATACGACCATCTTTACGGTGTCAAATTTACCTACTGAGGAATTACATTTTTTAGGGTAAATTACATGGTCAATTTACGAAAAAATCTCTCTTCTTTGTATAATTATATATACCCACTCAATTATGAATTTTTCTTACACATCTACCCTTATGGCGTCAAATCCAACATAATCATTTAGATTTCGTGGAATGTGCTCTAGTTTCTACTCGTTTTGTGTAAAAATATAGTTTCTGATGCACTACAATTTGATATATATATATATAAGCCAAAAAACACATCTTATGATCATCTTGCTTCAAGTTGTGGAACTCAAATGGGATAAAACGGGTACAAAAGTGATAATATCCCATATAATCTCGAAGATTTCACTAAATTTAAAACCGTAAGGATGGACGTGCAAGAAGATTTATAGTTGAGGGGTGATTGTAACAGGAGGGGGATTTTCGTAATTTGATCATACCCCAGGGGTGGTTGTAATTTACCCTTTTTTTTAAGACAACACATAGTTAATTTAAGTGTAGTGTTTATAATTACCCAAACAATAGGGGTCTTTCTGTAATTTGATAATTATTCGAAGGGGTGAAAATTGCCCTTGTTACCATGCAACAGTAATCATCATGACAAATATTACCATGTAACAATAATCACTAAATATTTAATTTACGAGTACTTGCAATAAGCCCAAAGTAAAATGAATTAATCGTCTAATAAATAAATAAATAAAAACTCCTACAAGCATTTCATCTTACACCACCCAAACTGCCAGTGAACTTAGCCTGAGTTAATTACATATCCAAAGACAGATACAAATAAGAATATGTGGGGAACAAAATGCCAGTCATAATAATTTACACGTGTTTTCGACACAAAGTTTTCCTTTCATAAATTCGGGGAGGAAGAGAGACTCTAATATATTTTCCTCGAGAGCAGCTATTTCGTTTCGTCTTTTATATCGAACCAGCATAGAATTAAATTAAAGAAAACGTTAGATATTATCAAATGGTGGGCATCATCTTTGAGGCTGATCCGAACCCGACCCGCCACCAGCTGGAGCGGATGACGGAGCATTGCTCGACGACCCGTTTTCTACAGGTGGCGTTAGGCCCCATTTGCCTTCGGATTCCAGCGGTTCGAAAACATGAACCGAACCGTCTGATAAACCCAATGCAAATTGATTTGGTTCTTGCGGGTGTGCAGCAATTACGAGCGGGTGCACATTTGAACTGTTTCACAATAAATAAATAATTACAATCACACCCGAGACTAATATTCTTGGGAAATAAAGATTTATGTTATTTGATGGTGCCGTAAAGTGGGGAAATGTTTAGACGGTGACATATCTTTCTTAGGGGTAAAAATGTAATTATCCAAAGAAAACTATTTATCTGGTATTTTACCTCCCAACCAAATAGGAAAATCTATTTTACCTATTTCTTTCATCATTTCACTTATTTAGCATTTTCCTTGATCCAAACAGAGCCCAAACGGCATTACGGAGGGATTCAAAAACATAAAAAAGAATCGCAACTTTATTATTATCATTATTATATTATGAGAGAGACTTGCCTGATATTCGGTGAGAGATAAGCTGACGGATTGATACGGCACCGCAAACGAAGCTGCGCAGCTGTGAATACACACACAGTCGAATCTAAGAAACTAGCATAAACCAGCTGGCTATCACACGAGAATGTCGCGTGGGATATCGGAGCAGTAGATTCTCGTGGGGCCCACTGGAAAAACAAAAACAATAATATATAAGATATCGACATTCAACATATATATCAAGTCTAAAAAGGCTTTGCTGCGACAAAATTACCTGCTTTACACATTCTAACTTTGTTGTTTCGTATATAGCAAGTTGTGTCTCGTGTACGACCAAAAAGTGAAGCTGGTCCTGATGGAACTGTACTCGAGTTTCCGATTGTGCCCCTGGCGACCTTCCGGAAGGTAGTTGCAAGAATCTCGATTTCTGCTTCTCCCACCCATCCGAATTCCATACACAAAGCTGGCGAGAGAGAGAAAAAATAAATTCAAATAAATGGAAATCAGAAGATTTTTCATTTTACATTGTCTTGGATAAAAAAATGCTGAAATAAGTTTAATACCTGAGCATCAGCTCCCGACGAAACGAGCACATTCAACACATGTGAGAAAGCAAGGCCCGTTATTCTTTTAGAGTGCCCTTTAAGCTTGCTTTTTACCTGCACGATAAAGAATCGAGTAGAATGAATAATGTGCCTTGAACTATATTTTGAATGATAATTAAGTAATTTAGAGTTACCTCATCTACTCGAACGTTATATATTTGAATAGTGGAATCATCCATTCCGATTGCGATTATATTATTATCTTGAGGGTGGAAGGCTAAGAACGTTGCCGCCGGTGGAGGAGGCATGAAAGTCGTCATTGTCTGCACATATTCATCGGGATTAAATTATTAAATTAAATGCGTGAGAAGAAATAAGAGCTATAAAGGGAATGAATTTTTTATTAATTTATTTATTCCTCCCATCGATTCATTATTATACCTTGAATGTCATCATATTGAAGAGAGAGATCTTTCCTCCGGATGCTGACATCACGTACGAGTCGTTTTTGGACAAAGCAAAGCAAGGGACAGCTTCCTCGGGACTTGTGTCGGCTACGTCATTTGTCATCAAAATGCCGCTCGACGGTTGCCACAGTTGAGGCGAAACAGTAGCGGTTGCCTACAGAAATGATATTTTTTTTTAAATTCCATTGGTTTTATAATGTGTGTATATATATATATATATATTCATTTCTTTATTTGTAATTAAATTAATATTTTATTTCTTACCTTCCCGTTTGAGTTACGGTCGCTTCGTTGCCATTTCCAGAGTAAATGGACTGCGTTTGAAGCTAATGCGAGTATAGCATTGCCTGAGTTTGTATATATCAGTCTCGATATCTGATAGAATAAACGTAAGAAAGAAACTTGTTAGAAAAATGCAAGCATATAGGCAAATTGGCACAGACAAGAAGTACATCTTCCGGATGAATGAAATGAAGAGAATAAAAAGAGAATATACCTTTGTTACTCTTAGATTCTCCGGGAGCTTCAAGGACCGGCACTGAGATGGTTCGTTAATTTCACTGAGCTTCCAAATCTTCGATTTATCATTAGTTTCTTCTATTATTCTTGGTTTTACATCTCCAAGATTTCTTGTATCTCCGTTCTGCAAAAATCAAACACATTACTCACTCAATTGATGAATGACAAAAAAAAAAATAATAATAATAATAATAACAAGTAACACAAACCATAGCAGAGATTCCAACAGAAGACGGCACCCTGTCTGTAAGTCCTGCACTACTTGCTACACTGGCAGATATTGGGTTTACAGTAGGCTGCAAGGTGATTGGTCACAAAAATTAAAACCCGAAAAAAAAAAAAAAAAAAAAAAAAAAAAAGAAAAAAAGGAATTTTTATTTTTTCGCTGTAAAGATGCTACCTTTGCAGCCTCAGATGTTCTCGAAGCATCGAAAGCAATATTCTCAAACGTGCGAAGTAACCTAAGACCATCGTTGTTCGCCAAAACTTTGATTCCATTCTCATTAGCGGAAATAGCCAATAGGCTTCCATCTTTATTGAACCGAATACGTGGGCTCGCCTTCAATTCACACAAATAAAAAAAAAAAAAAAAAAACGAACACTTTAGACATACAATTTTTCCAACGCATGTTTAAAACACGTGTAGTTTTTAAAATCTAAAAATAAAATATAATAATACTCACAGGAAGACCACCATCAGCCTCACTACTGGTCAAAAGCTGAGTGTTGTCCATATCCCAGAATTTAATCGAAAAATCATCGCCAGCTGCCAAAAACCTATTCTTAGTCGTATCGAATTGGACAACACCTAAAGATCTTTTTCTAAACCCTTGATAAGTTCTCTTCACCGCTCCTTCACTTTCGTTCCACTCAACAATGTGCGACTCTCCGTCTTTACTTGTCCCACAAGAGAAAAGCCTGCACCAAGAAAAAAATATTATTACATGGTCAAGAAAAAAAAAATCAAATAAAAATTTGGATATTTTTATTACCGTGTTCCATCGGCACTGTAGGCCATGGTAGTGCACCATCGACCAGGGGCATCATAGTCAACTCGAGACCCTAAATTGTCGTACAGCCATGCCTTAATCTTTCCGTCTAATGCTGTTGAAAATATAAACTGAAAAAAAAAAAAAAACCAATGTCAATATTTTGGTCCATCTTATAATTATAATTTCCGGAAATGCAATTAATCCTCACCTGAATATTCTCTTTGTGATGAGGGCAGACTGAGTAAACAGGGGCCTCGTGACCTTCGAAAGTGTATTGTTTGGTACCGGTTGTGGCATCCCAAACCTAGAAAATTGCACAGATAAGCGTAAGTAAAATTTGTACTTTTCACCTACATATAAAAGCTCGGTGCAAAAATAAAATAATAATAATAATAATTAAAAAAAAAAAAAGAAAAGAAAAGAATTATGTATTTAAAAAATTTACCTTGATAAGCTTGTCATCTCCACAGGTAATCACAGAGAGCTGCTTATTGGGGTGGGAGAATGCAAGATCGTTTACTCCTCCAACATGAGCATCAATCTAAAATAAATATTAATCATTAGCAAATTATGAAATATATTCCGACCAAAAACCGGTGAAGCTAAGATATATAATAATTGAAATATACCTCCAAGTGCTGACGAACATCGTCGTTACCATGATATGAATAAATCTGTATGAGGTGTCTTGAATATGCAACACCTGTTCAGAAGGAAAAAAACGAGTGGTATTAGAAAAGTTCTTTAGTAATTTTTGCATTTAATTAATTGTCGAGATATTTAATTAAGGCCTAATTACCAAACAAAGATCCATCGGGGCTCCAAATGACGCGATTAACAGAAACACCAGGATCTTTCACCAGACCAGCCTGTATTCAGTAGATAAAAAACTTTTCAAGATATAGTCTGAATATCAGATTGAAAATGTATTTCATTTTAAACAGAATCGAGTAACAAAAAATAAATGTGGGCGCACCTGTAAAGGCATAGTACACGCGCTCAAATCCCAGACTTTGAAGTTCCTCTGAACAAGTCTTTCTCTCGAACCGACTTCCCACAGTCCAATATCTCCAACATTCGTGCCAACTGAGTTATTTTTAACAAAATTTATATCATTCAAGAAAACGTCAATGAACAATTTTTTTTTATAGAAGTTATATCATTTATTCGTAAAACAATAACCAACCGAGAAGAAGAGTCTGTTGAATAGGATGAAAATCCATGCTCATGGGCGAAGACCCTTGGTTCAAAACCCTTCCAACTGTCTTAGGCAAATCATCCGGTGCATTAAAACTCTGGCTATGTGCATGCGCGGGAAAAGATACCGGCATAACATTCACAGGTAGATTCACCTTCATATAATAGATTAAAGATCAGAATAAAAAAAGCAATCTTTTAAACATTATTATCTTCCATATATATATATGTATATTTATACCTCGTCGGTAAGCCCCAAAGGCCTAGTTCTTTTACTCGCATGTTCAGAATCACCGGACGGAAAATCAACAGAAGCATTGGTCGGTGGAGTCCTCGGATGCTTAAGAGCAGCTACAAAAATCCCAACAAGAAAAAGAAATAAGTATTTCAATTGACAGCACTAATTTTATTTCCAAAAATAAAATGCGGTAGATCTCCACATACATATATTGAATTCTCGACCAGGCATTGCAGGTCCACCAAGACCTAACGGTGCACCGGAAACCGCCGCATGAGTGGCGGTCGGTGGATTGGACATCCAACCAGCTAGCGGTGCTGGTACAGGTGCTGGAGCAGGCTGAAATGGCTGTCGGTGTAACAAAAACATCACATTAAGTTAGTGCTAAAAGACAACTCACAAGAGAAGCTAAATAACTAGAAAAAGACACATACATGTGCACCCAATGGAGGGAAGCCACCTGGCTTTTGCACTGGACCTCCAAGCAAGGGATTATTCGCCGGAGAGGGTGCACGTGCACCGTTTTGTTGGCCGCACGAATGATCCACGAAAAGGGTTTTAATATCTGGATTTGGCCTCGGATTTTTACATAGTTGGTGCTGCCAGTTTAAGCTGCATATGCATAAAATAGACCCAATATAAAGTCTTATTAAAAGCCAATTCAAGAAAATAGTTTCCCTTTTTACATCAACATTGAAGAGTGTCTACCTTTGATTGATGAGTGTACGCAGCCTCGAATTCTTGAGATTTGGGAACTGTAACTTGTCCCGAAATAAAGGGTTTGCCTCAATTAGCTTCTTTAGTTCCACAAGCATAATGGCTCGTGCGGATTTCGTATCTCCGTATTTCGATAGCTGCTCGTTTTCCCTAATCAAGAAAATAACTCAGCTTAGAAAAACAGTATACTACTCCCCCACCAATTAATAGCAATTTGCCATTAAAATACCTGAAATTCTCTAATGTCAAGAGCTGAGTTATCTCCTTAAAAAGGTCTTCGTTAAAAGACGCAAACACTTTAAGATCCTTTACTAGGATGTCGACCGCTTTCGACCGGTCGTGCCTATACATAACAAGATACTTCTAATGTAAGAAACGAAAATTGAAAATTAAATTTTTGTTTTCAAGAACCAATTTATAATCTAATCTCACTTGTCCAATGCTTCGAGGTACTTTTGCTTCCGAATTTCAAAAAAGATCTTCATCGAGTAGCGATTGTCGTCCACTTTAGTGAAACCCGAGAGGTACTTTTCTACCTCCTCCCAGTTCCCATTGTGCACTTCATCTTCGAAATACTTCATATTGAAGAAGAATCCAGATTCTTGCTCGAGCCTATCATTAGCAACGATACATTAATTACATTAAATTCAAAGCAAAGCGCCCATCATTACTGCATAGTCACCACCACAACAAGACAAAAAAAAAATTAAGTTCGGACATAATACAGAGACATGAATTAAAACCTACTTGTGAACGGTCTCTTTGAACTTCTCTTCATCGAGGAACTGTAAGATCAAGAACACGAGTTCTCTACTGAGAGAAGACATTCCGAAGAACTCCTCTCCTTTCAAACCCACAAAGGGAATATTTCAAAAGCAAATATAGCAGCAGATCTGTGAAGAAACCCACAAAGAAAATAATTAAATAAAAATCCCAAGAGCAAAAAAAAAAAACAATAAATGAAAAAGGGTCAGCTACCACTAGCCTTATTTAATTGTCGAACTAAAGCCTCAATTTAATTATTGCTTGACACAAGCTTCAAAACTCATTTTATATATATAAATAAATAAATAAAAAACATAATACTGAAATTGAACAATGAATTATTATTACCTAAAATTAAAGCAAAAAAAAAAAAAAAAACCTGAACGATTATACTGATCTTGAATCAACAGAAATGGGAGGAAATTAACACAAGGGTTTGAGCATGCACCGACAAAATAAGGGCTAATTAAAGAGATCAAATAAATCAAAGCAGCTTTAAATGGAATCCTAGATGCAAATAAAAGGGGAAGCAGAAAAGAAAAATAGAAAAAGCAAAGTGGAGATTATTATGTGTGTGTTGAATACTCAGTGAAGAAAAGTAGAGCTAAAAAGAAAGCAGAAAAATAAAATAAAAAAAATTAAATTAAATTAAAAAACAGTTCTTCGAAAGTAAATATTCCAGAATATATGTAAACACATCCGCTATTTCTATATATATATATATATATATATATATATATCGACAGAGAGAGAGAGAGAAGGGTTTACTTGAGAGAGAGAGAGATCGATCGCTGGAGAGAGAGAGAGACGAGGGAGGTCGGAGTAGAGAGAGAAAATGAGGTTTTGGTTTCTCTCTCTTCACTTTGATACCTATCTATCTATGAAGGTGGGAGATTGTGAGTACATGTATATATACTAGCGACATGTGGGGGGTGGTTTCTCTCTCTAGACTTTCTCTCTCTACTCTATCGTTGGAGAAAGGGAAAAAAATTAAAAATAAAAAAGGAAATATATATAAAATATATAAACTACGACATTACTTGCAGGAAATTTAAGTGATTTTTTTAGGAAGGGGCAACTCAGAGATGGAGATAAGCAGAACTGCTTATCATTTCGAAAGTTATGATAGGTAGCTGAGGTGATCAGAGGTTAGTGATAGGTTATCGTTTATGTACAGTCAACGTGGGCCCCGAAAAGCCGGCTACGTTCTTGTCCTGGGATGATCGGCTCGGAATCTTCAGCCGACAGCTGGTCTTCGGCTCGGTTTCCTTGCTTCGTCAGCCGAGGGTGTAATTAGGGTTTGGCGAGGTGGGTCCCGCACTAGAACCAAGTGTGATCTGACGGCTGTGGATGGATGGAGGTGATCGCACGGCTGGATTGTGGGGTTTTAAATCGGTTGTACAGAAAAGACTTTTACATCAGATGTACTCGAGTAGAGCCCCCATATTTAAAACGACAAGCTTTTTTCTCGGAGTTGCCTCTCAAACTTTCGGGACTGTTTTTAGACAGAAATTACGAGTGACTGCCACTGGCGTTTTCAATTTATCGCGATATGATAAAAAAAAGTTTCTTTTCGTGGTATGTTTGCGAGAAAATGAGGTGGATCGGAGGAATTATTGGAGTTGCACACACTTTTGTGAAACCTGATTGAAAGGCTATTATTTATGTATTTTATTTTATTATTATTATTTTTAATTTTTTTTGGGTGGGTGGGGGGTTGGGGGGGTGTGGGGGTGGGGGTGGGTCAGAAGGGAAAATAGTCGTTGTCAAATGTAGTACGTACTTGGTGGCCGAGTTATTATTGTTTGGAGTGGATCTCGAGGTGGACGATCTAACGGTTGTTAAAGCTTCAATAAAATTCTCTTGATTAGGGTACTACATATTTGGTCCAGTCAGCTTAGGGTTTCTAAAATAGATATATATATATATTTTTTCAAAACTGAGTTCAAGCTTAATTTAAATTGTAATTAAAAAAAGGTTCACAAACTATTCAAATTTAATATTTTATTACTATAAATGTTTATATATAAATATACAAGTAATAAGTACTTATCGATAAAAAAAATACTTATTGATTTTTATTGATTTTTGAACAATATTTTTCATTTTTTATTCCAAAAAATTCAGAATTCTAAAGTTTGATTTTTCATTTTTTCTAAACAGAATTAGAATACATGCATATTGTAATACAATTTACAATCCAATTTTAATTTTCGAGAAAATATGATTTTTGTCTCCTCGAAAAGATGTCGTTCTAATAGGGTTGTTATACTTATCGATACCCATTGTATAAACCAAAAAGTAAGAGAAGACCATATTAAGTATATAATTTTGGCATAAATAGAACGGTACATCAAAACGATTTGAGTGAGTTTTACCGAATCAACAACCCTACTACTAGAAATAGAGATTGCAAAAGTTAAGGGAATATTTTAAATAATATAATTAATTAAAAATGAATTTTTCAAGCTCAAGTGTTAGAACAATTGTTAGAACAATCTAATATACTCTTAAGACTTTGTTTAACACGTTTCAAACTCGCTTTTAATCAACTTGATTATAAGTATTTAAAAAAAAAAAGATATTAACCCACTCGAAGTTTAAGGAGCGGTTGACTTTACAAATTATGTATATTTTGACTTTTTAATCTTTTTAGATGAACGTACAATTATATTCTTAAATATGCTAACAAAATATTCTGTTCAACTCAACTCAATTTTTTTATACTCTCTTAGAGAATTAGTCTTCACATTTTTCCATAACTATTTGATTAGCATGATTATCTTTTATTGTACTTTATACTCACTGTTATAAGGTGATGAAATTTAAATGGCTCAATCACGAAATAATATAATGAAATAAGAATGGTATAGGCCTAGAATTAGCAAAAGCTCAAATGAGAGGAGGCCCACGCTTTACAAGAAACCTGCAAAAAAAAGTGTAGGGGAAGGACTTTCTCGGACTTAGCACTACGACGTTCAAATGAATCGGAATCGTGGAGATCGAGTGTGCATGTGGAATACCATAGAGAGGATTGACGCAGGGATAGGATGGTGGGTCCCACGTTATGTCTTTGATTAGATCACACGTGGAGGTGATGTGATCAGTTCGTGATGTACTCGTCTATTGAGGGCGAAGTAATCTTGTTTCTTACGGTCTAGAACAGTTCAATGGGACGAGTTTGTTGACGTGGTCGCTTTTGGTAGTGGGCAGCTTCCCGGTCAATGTCATTTTGTCGGCTTTTCGACTTTCTCTGACACAGCCGGATGTAGTCACATCAATCGTTTATTTACCCACGTGGGACTAGTGACCGGTTTTATGGAGTGTTAGTGAGCAAATTTAAACTAGGCCTTAAATGCCTTTGAACTTTATTTTAGGATCCTTATTATTTGGGCTTCTAAGACAATTAAGCCCGTATCAATTGAAATTCACAAGTTAATTCAATTTCAACAAAAAAATGAACCAATAGTCAGCAACTTCGAAATTTCTTTTTCATTTTCTAAAATTAGATATTATATATATATATATATATATATATATATATATATATATATATATATATATATATATATATATGTGTGTGTGTGTGTGTGTGTGTGTTATAGACAGTTGGAAAGTTATTTATTTGGTGACCCACACATGGCAAGTATTTTGTGGCTCAAATTGACATGTCTATATATGAGATTCATTACATCACACACTCAAATTTGTCTATGCATATTTATTACCGTCCATACTGCTATTGATTTTCCAATTATACCCCTTCATCTTAACTTGATCGATGATGTAAATATTAATTTAATTAACACTCTCACTAATAAATAAATAAATAAATAATTTGAAACTAATCAAGAAATAACCACCACCCCACACTAGATTTGAATCCCCTTGCTCACGATAGTCGGTACGAGTTTGTCACATACAGTTAGCCTAATATTGACTAACTAAACAGAGATCTCTAACATAAATTAAACTTGTAATAAACCTAAAATATGAAATAAAGTGCTATTTAGAATACATAATGATAAGGCATTTTTATAGAAAATTGTATGATTTAAGTAACACGTTATCTTAGTGTCGTTTTCATGTTTGTTTAGGTTTGTCTTAATTGCATATAGTGAAGATTCGAGGAGTGGACCAAATCATAATTAAATATGTTACCATTATAAATTAATATCAGTTTATTTCTATATTACACCTGATGAAAATTGTGTGTAGATTTTTACTGTTGATCTACATATACCAATGTGTGGGTTCCTTCGACCCTACACCCGGTGAAAAACACCGGGTGGGTCTTCTGCTGCCACGTGTTCTAAAACCCCTAAAGGTAAGCCCTAACGGGAAATTTATTATAAAATACAAAAAAGAGACACGTGGCAGCAGAAGACCCACCCCGTGTTTTTCACCGGGTGTAGGGTCGAACAAATCCAATGTATGTGTATATGTGTATGAATGGTTTATGATACAAACCAGCTTGATGCGGTATAAAAACGGCATAACTCTTTTTTCCCCGTATTTTTGCAAAGATAGTTGAATATGGAAACTTTGAGAAGATAAAATAAAATTGAAAATTTATAGAATTATATAATCACTTTCATTCCATGAAAAGTTATTCGTGATAGGCATTTCTTTTTCTAAGTCAAATTCCTATTTTTCCTTTATTGAGAGCTCTTTGTTGTAGAGATTGTTGCTCCATTATTGATGGTGACTGATGATGCTAATTACTAGCTCACCTAGGGTGGTGTAGAAAACGAACTGGGAGAGCAAAGCAGATCAGTAGCTTGACAACTTGATGATCCTGAGGTACCTGCGATCATAGAACACATAAGCTAAGCCGGGGGTTGATCCGGCGGAAACCCCTCATTGTATTATCATTTATTCCCTGATCATAGAAATAGTCCAGAGAATACCATTAGTAGTATTGCTCAGATAATAGGACGTACCTTAATAAAATGAGTAAAACCTCTATTTATATGTCGTTTATTGGGTTGGGTTTGCTTTGTTGGGCCCAAACCTTACTTGAAGGTGTTTGGGCCTCGGTGATATTAGTCTTCGATATTGGGCTCGTAGCCCAGTAGGTAAAGAAATTGTAGGCCCATTGGGTTGGCCCAATTAGGCATATCATTAAGCCCCCCACTCTCGAGTCGATGTGGGGGCCATGTTGTGATGGGTCTCAAATCGTGTCGAGAGTAAAAATTGTAGAAGTCGATCATTGGCGTATGGCCTAATGGTATGCGAAAACGCGTTGGAGCGTGTGTCGGAGGGGCGTGAATGCGCGTTGGCGCATAGCGCGACAAGGTCGTCGCGATGTAAGTTAATTGAGTCGTCGGTTTTGTCCCGCGACGATGTAGTAGCGAATTATCTCATCGTGGGAGTTGTCTTGTCGCGGGGTAATAGTGCTGATCGAGTTATCTCCTCGTGGGAGTTGTCTCGCGATAATGTAGTAGCACGGATCAAGTAATCTCCTCGTGGGAGTTGTCTATGGGGTAATCGAGTTGATCGAGTTACGTCCTCGTGGAAGTTGTCTCTAGGGTAATCGAGTTGATCGAGTTACGTCCTCGTGGATGTTGTCTCACGATAATGTAGTAGCACGGAGCTAGTATTCTCCTCGTGGGAGTTGTTATTTTTCGACATTGTCAATGTTTTGACGCGTTGCTTATATGTGTTTACATATAGCCTTGTGCGTGATGTACTTGAGGAGGGGATCAGACTCTCAAGATTTTTTTTTATGGGGGTCGTGCCCCTTGTTAGACCTCGTGGGTCTTAAGTATGTTTGGACCGTGGCCACGTT